GTAGGTTTCCTTGCTGATATCGATTTCGTGAGCGTGTAGCGACGAACGCTTATGCGACAGAAATTATCATTGGTTTGGTCTCATTATCCAACAAACTCGCGCACACAGACCGTCGTTTCGGTTTTATCACTACTTCCAAACAAGCTGTGTAGGGACCAAGATGCTTCGAAAATCGGCTTCGTCATAAATAAAATCACGCTCAAGTCGACAGTTCGCTCACGAAGTAATAACAGTTCTCATAGCTTGCGATGATCTATTCCTCGCTTTAAAAATGCCATTACATACTCGACCACTTTTTCGTGCACAGCGCTGCATGTCCGAGGAAACAACATTCACACTTATTCATACGCCGTGAATACTAAAATCAATGACACCCTGACCGACGTCTTCAGTTACTTGAAAGCAATTATGATGAGTAGCATGAAACGCAATTTTATGTTAATCCACCCTCAGTAGGATAGTGTTCACAGTAGAATCCTTCCAGTCACCTGCGCAAGTCGCATTGAGAAAACGGATGCTGGGTGGTGCGTTTACAGCGTAAATTTGAATAATATTCCACTAATTTTTATACGCATGTTGGAAAAATACATCCTACCGAGCTTACTATTGAAAGAAAAATCTTCGTTTTGAAGGTGTTTCTATTCACAAGTTTTTGATGTATTAATTCCTGGAGCCTAATATTCGCAAGTTTATAATTAGTGCGGAGTGATGCTTATTCGTCTTAATATCTCATGAGTTGAAAAACCTTTGTCTAACAAGACGAGGGAGGAGAGCGACTGCCATGGAAGACAAATATCGTACCCTTCCTCTTAACCTAATTCTAAGACATAGCATATCCACCCGAAGGAAAAAAATAGATTTCTACAAGCGTAAAATCCACTGAGGGACTTATGCACCTACGAAGTAGACTTCCCTTTTCTGATTTTAAGTCAGCTGCATGGTCGTAGGGGCTCCTGACCGAAGGCCACTCTGATCTTGCGTAGGAACTAGTCCACACGTATTTTCCATAGCAACCGCTGATGCAACTTCTTTTTGGGACCTCACTGTCATTAAACCACTAATGTTAATAGTCCAAGGGTCGCACTTGCTGCGTGTTTATTCTTTGGTAGCCAGCAGAATTTAAAAATTATTT